GAGCAACTGGCTCTAGTGGAAGCTGTCCCTGCCTGTGGTTGATCTTAAGGTCTTTTCCCACCCAAACCATTCCATGATTCTATGAATGCAAAGTCATGTGGGGAAGAGAAATGGGGTGAACGTGGGTAATGCAGGAACAGGAGCAGGGTGACTGCAGGGACTGGGAATGGCAGCGGAATGAATGCGGGCAATGTGGGGAGCATGGCAAGGTACTGCCTAGGCTTGCCCAGCGCTACTGTCCTGGCAGCCACATCCCCAGCAGCCAGGCATGGCTGATGGGCTCTGCCAGCTCCGACCTCTGACAGCCTGCCCCAGGAGAGGTCCCTGCAGCTGGGCAGTGTCCCAGCCCCTCACCAAGCCCCTCACCTTGCCTCTCGGGAGACAGGGTAGATGAGAGCAAGTGGCTTCCACCCTCTGGGATCTGGCACAGAAAGGAAAAACACCATAGAGCTCTCCTGCTTGCCTATCCCTGGCTCTCTGGCTTGGCTCCATGGGAATCTAGCCCTGTCTGGCTAGTTTTCCATGGCTCTGGTCTCGGGAGGGGAGATGAATGGCTCCTTGCGGAACACAGGCAGCCACCTTCCCTCCCACAGTGGTCTTGGAGGGATGGGATCCTGCCCTGTCCCAGCTGTGGCTGTGTCTCAGCAGGCTGATACAGCCTCAGGAGAGGCTGGCTGTGGATGCAGGCAGGTTGCTGGGGTGGTGGTGATAGTGTGACTGGCACCATGGCAGAAGGGCTATGGGAGTGTGCTGCCACAGCACTGGCAACGTGCTGGAGGGCAAAGGATGCCCTGGAGCCCCCTAGGGTTGCCATAGCAGTGGGCTGGGAGTGGGGAAACTGAATCAGTCAAGGGGACAGGACATGAACCCAGCAGCCCACATCAGCTGAATTGTGCCATCCTGCGCAAGGAAAGTCTCCCATAACTGCACAGGGAGGGCTGGGTGGTGTCTTGGTGGATGCAGCCTTCACAAGGGGATACTGGCTGTGCCCAGCATGCTGAACCTCACCCCCTCCATTGCCTGCGGGGCTTAAGATGCTGGAATGCGCAGGTCTCTCCCTGAGCTGACGCTGTGAGGGCTGCCTGTGGGAGCTGGCTGCCCCGCAGTGCCCATCCAGCGCTTGGCTCCCGGCCTTGCTTGGCTTCTCCCTCTTCCCTGGCCAAACGCTGGCATAAGGCAGCAGCACTGAACAACTCAGCCTTTGTGCTCACCCGTGTGCCCGCAGCAGCTCCCTGCCCCTTAGGGTGCAGGATCCGCTCTCCCCTTCCTCCCAGATGCTCTGGCGCCCTGGCAGCCCCACCATGGAGACGCTGCTTTCACAGCCTGCCAGGGACGGGAAGGAGCAATGGAGGGGCTCCAGTTGAGGCTCCCTTTGTGTCCCCATGCAGTTGTGGGCTCTCCCTGGCACACACATTGCTGCTCATGCTGCTGGGTTTGGATGCTGATGCAGGAGCAGGCTCCTGCTGTGCCACCCGGCATCACTCAGTGAGAGCTGTCAGTTCGGGAAGGAGCAGTGTCCACCGCTACCTGTACCTCTGTCTCTCTCTGTGTGTCCTTCTGCCACCCAGTCCTGTGTATCTGTGTGGGAAGCAGCCACATTTGCTTGCCTGGAGCACTCCGACCAGGACTATGCTGCTCTGTCCTGGGTATCGGTCCCTTGTCACTGTCCCTTCACGGTGACTGTGAGCTGAGCATGCAGGGGGTGGAGGTGGTGGCCAGGCTCATGGTGCCACTGTGGTCTTGCCAGCTCTCTCCTCCCTGGGTGTGTTGTCTGTTCTGATGTTGGTTTATCAGCACAGGCAGGAGGGAGATGGGACTGGCACTGCTCATCTTGCTGGCCCAAGGACAACCTGTGTCCTTCCCATTGTGCCACCCTGGGGATGGCCAGGCACAGGCTGCCTGTGTCATGGGTTCCAGGGGATCAGCCAGACTCTCTATGGGTGTCTCAGCCCTTTAGGACTCAGATGGTGACTTTATGACTTCTAAAGTTGCTGATCTTTGTAGCAGAGGAGAGAAACTGAGGCAGAGAATGGCAGGCACTGCCAGGTCCCCCAGTGTCACCTGGTGGGATTGAGGACAGGGACACCAAGACAGCCCTTGCTGGCTCTGCAGATGTTTATATCACGTTTGGCTGGAAAGCTGCCCAGTGGAAAAGAACTTGAGGGTATTGGTTGATAACTGCTTGAATAGGAGCAGCTTGTGCCCAGGCAGCCAGGAAGCCCCCAGCATCCTGGCCTGTACCAGCACCAGTGCGGCAGCAGGGCCAGGGCAGGGATTGTGCCCCTGTGCTGGGCACTGGTGAGGCCGCACCTCGAATCCTGTGTTCAGCTCTGGGCCCCTCACTGCAGGAGAGACATTGAGGTGCTGGAGCGGGGCCAGAGAAGGGCAGCGGAGCTGGTGCAGGGCCTGGAGCACAAGTGTGATGGGGAAGGGCTGAGGGACCTGGGGGGTTCAGTGTGGAGAAGAGAAGGCTCAGGGGGGACCTGATGGCTGCCTACAAGTGCCTGAGAGGAGGATGGAGCCAGGAGGGGCTGGGCTCTGCTCCCAAGGAACAAGGGATGGGACAAGAGGAAACGGCCTCAAGCTGCACCAGGGCTGGTTTAGGTTGAAGATTAGGAGAGCTTAATTCTCTCAGAGAGCTGTCAAGCACTTTAACAGGCTGCCCAGAGCAGTGGTGGAGTCACCGTTCCTTAACGTATTTAAAAGACATGTAGATGTGGTGCTCAGTGACGTGGGTTAGTGGTGGCTTTGGCAGTGCTGGGTTAAAAGTTGGACTTGATGATCTTAAAAGTATTTTCCAACCTAAACAATTCTATAATTCTATGTTTGTAGGAGGTATCCTAGTGCCTGAGCATGGCTTGATCTGTATGTGAACACCTACCTGGCCCAACGAGGGTCTCATGTGCCCAGCATGGTGACGTTTCTCCTGGGAGGGCAGGGTTTGAGAGAGCTGGGACAGCTGGGTGCCAGGGAGCAGGAGGAGCTGCACTGGCCTAGAGAAACCCTCAGCAACATGTCTTGGTGGTCACATACATCTCCTGTGATGCTGCAGGGGATCTCTGCACCATTTCACATGAGGCTGGGGCCACTGGCACTCATCTCTGCCCTCCTGCTCTGCTTGTCCTGCTCTTGTAGTGGGGATCCATAGTATTCCCACACTGGCTGACAGCAGCTTCCAAGGACATCCATCAGTGATGCTCAGCTAATTCCCTGGAGAGCAGGACTCTCTGGGGAGGTTCCCATGTCTCTGGTCCCCTTGGGGAGATGGGATGCATGTTGAGGGCTGGCTGGTACATGGCTCCCTGCAGGTCCCCTGGCAGGTGATGGGGTCCCTCAAGTGCTTGGAGCTGGCTGGGCAGTGATGTTTAAGGAATGGGAGAGCCATAGATGTTGGCATGTGGACAGCATTGGCTCCTGGCCTCAAGGACAGCCCAGCATGGCCAGTCTCTAGCCCATGCTCTATGGAAATCCATGTGTGTACGCCCCTGCAGCGCTGCTGCTCACCCTCTCTTCCAAACCCACATTTAACCACCGGGGAGGGGATGAAAACGTTTTGCTGAAAACCCTGTTCTCCTTTTTTCTTCAGAAGAACTTTCCCAAATTACCGTGGTTCCAGTTTGTTCTTCTGCCCATTCCCCGAGGACACTGTTGCTGAGCATGGCTGGGGTGAGGGAGAAGGGGAAGCTCCTAAAGTTGTTCAAAAATTAATTAAAGCTGGGGTTTAATGTTCCTAGAGGAGGGTGGGACCCTGGGAAGGCGACAGGAGCGAGTCTGGGGCTGTGCACATCAGAAGCTGCTTTCTATTGTGGCTGCTGAGCTAAATTTACCCACAGACACCCAGAGCTGTTCCCACACGCTGGAGAGCCGGGTGCTCGTGCTGCCTCCTGCCCCACAGGGACACCCTGGCCTCCAAACTCGGTGGGGGTTCATAGACTCATTTGTCTCTTCTGAGCTCTGCTTGCCACTGGCCAGGCTGACAAGGAGGCTCTTGAGGAGCCCCAATCCACAAAGCGTCTGCTGCGGTCGCTGGCAGGGATGCGGTGCTGCCAGGGATGTGGCTTCCAAGGAATTAATAGCTGTGTCTCTGAAGCACCCAGGGAGGGGAGATGTGCAGTCATTAGCTCTAATGAGAGCTGTTTGCTGTGGTGCTTGTCTCTGTGCTCCCTCATTCTCCATGAGTCCCCTGGGATCAGCCAGCTTCCCACAGCTGACACATGCACCCAAACCCGGAGCTGCTGCAGGCTGTGCCTGTGCTGGAGTGCGAGTGTGTGTCTGGCTGCTCTGTACTGTTGGGAAGGGGTTCAGTGTGATGGGTGGGAATGCAGTAGGTCAGTTGTGCATGCCACCAGCAGCAGGAGCTGAGCACAGCCTCACCTGTCCCCTTCCCATCCACCAAGCCCATGGCTGGGGACAGCTGCTGGGCTGGGCGGTGGTTGGGTTGGGGCGGTTGTTTTGGCTCTGGGACTGTCTTGGCATGGTTTTGCACTTTGCATTTCAAGCCTTTGGAAGTGCAGTTTGATCATGTTGCCTCTGAAATGGGTGCTGCTTCTGTGTTTCGATGGGTGTCTGCGAACAGCCAGCACTTGCTGCCTTGACAGGGGCATTGCAGTGCATGAGCCAGCATGGCCATGGCCCTGTATGCCCCTGTATGGGCCATGCTCAGCTATTGAGGCAAGGGTAGTTTAAGTGTGGGCTGCAGGTGATTACCTGCCTGTGCTGTGGTCCCCAGTCCTGCCTGTCACCTCCTCGGCTGCAGAGGTGGATGGTGGCATCACTGGAATGCACCAGCCGCTTTTCTTGGCCACAAACAGATCAAGGTTCTCGCTGGGTGCAGGAGCGGAAGCATTCAGTGCTCTCTGCTCCACACTGCAGGCAAAGGTGCTCTCGGTCCCCCACCTGCAGCAGCCACAGTTCCAGTGTGGGACATTGCTCACATCCTCAGGACCAGGCTCATGTGAGTGAGCCCTGAGGCTTCCCTCAGCCCCCTTCCCTTCTTGCAGGATCCGTCCCCAACTGTCCAAAGAGAAAATAGAGGGATGTCACATCTGCACCTCAGTGACACCCGGAGAGCCCCAAGTGCTACTGGGGAAGGACAAGGCCTTCACCTATGACTTTGTCTTTGACCTGGACACGTGGCAGGAGCAGATCTATACAACGTGTGTTGGCAAGCTCATTGAAGGCTGCTTTGAGGGCTACAATGCCACCGTGCTGGCGTATGGACAGGTACGTGCTCTGCCTGCTCCTTGGGTTCTGGCATGGGCATTGGGCTCCTCTGCAGCACTGGGTGCTGGGGCTGCTGAGATGGCATCTGCAGAGGTTACAGATGGTGGGGAGTGGAGGGGACAGAGTTGTCCCTGGGCTGGGCAAGAGAGGGGGCTGGGGGTGGCCTTGGATCGGAGGAAAGGAAGGCAGGGCTGGGGGGCTGGGGTGGGGGTGTGGGAGCTGGTGTGAGAGTGGGGATCAGAGGAGTTTAGCAGAGACGTTTGGGGTGCTTGGGGTGGTGATGGGGAGGTGAAAGGTGCCTTGGGCAGAGCTTAGACTGGGAGAGCCCAGCCAGCTGCCCCCTCATTGCCTTTTTGCAGACTGGTGCTGGGAAGACATACACCATGGGCACTGGCTTTGACGTGAACATCTCTGAGGAAGAGCAGGGCATCATCCCACGGGCCATCAGCCACCTCTTCAGCGGCATTGAGGAGCGCAAGCGCGCAGCGCAGAGTCAGGGCAGGGCGGCTCCGGAGTTCAAAGTCAGTGCCCAGTTCCTGGAGGTGGGTGATAGCACGTCTGGGTGACACTGTCACCCTCTCCTTTGCTCAGCATTCATGTCCTGGCTGCTCCATGGCTGAGCTGCATCCTACAGCAGGTGTGCTGCCAGGGGTGTAGCCGGAGCAGAGGAGACTCAAAGGAGCTGAATGTTGGTGACCTCTTGATGGCCACAAACTGGGGTGGCATTTTCTTGGCTGAAGGGATACCCTTCCCATGGTCCCTTGGTCCCTTGGACATTCAGGGGGCTCTAGGCTTGCTTACTCCTGTTTGAGACTGAGGATAGTGGCATATCTGTTTCCCTGGGTCTGTACCAGCATTCCCAGTGAAACAAGTGGAAGAAGTGCCATTCTTGTGGGGACTGGAGGAAGGGATGCATTATTTCCCATGTCCTTTGCTGCATCTTTGACCTTGAGAATGCTTCATTGCATCCTTTCCTGCCTCTGCCTTGGCCTCTTGATTTCAAAAGCCTCTTCTATTAACTACTTATTTTCCTGGAGAAGTTTGTCCCCGAAAGCCTCTGGACCTTGTGTGGCTGCAGCAGTCTCCCTGTGGACTGGTTGTGGTGTAAAAGTGGAAAGAAGCTCAAGACGGGAACTGGTTTAAGGCCCTGGTGAGGAAACATTGGGTGGTATTGAGCAAAGCTGGGCTCCTAAACAAACTTCACCTGGTTGTTCTCCTGATGTGGGGTAGAGCCCAGAGGAAACAGGCAGGCAGAGAAGAGGCCCTGTGCTGGGATTTTGCCTCCATGTGGCTTTGGCGTCCATCACATCTGGGTTCCTCCAGATGTCCATGGCCTGGAGAGCGTAAGTGGTGCCCAAAGGCACCTCCTAGTCTCAGGGGCTTATCTCCTCACTGAAGAAATCCTTTCCAACCAGCTTTCCATCTGCAGAACCCTTGCTCACTCCCATGGTGCTGTGTGTCTTGCCACATCCTTCCCTCCCCACCACTCAGCCTGTCCAAGTTCCTGGCTGCCTTCCCACGTATTCTCATGGGCCTCCACTCTGGGGAACCTGAGGGCTGGGATGGAAATAGGTACAATTTCCTGCCTGTACTGAAGTCCTTCTGGGAGGTGAACCTTGGTTGGGCTTTATCCCTGCTGCAGAGTGCCCTAACCCTGTTGGAGTCATGGCATGGTCCTGCCTTCCTGAGCTGTAGAACCAAATACTGGCCTTAAGCCCAATGTGTGTCCCCTTACCCTATGTAACACACTTTCCTTTACCTCTCAGTGTCCTGTATCTGCTGTCTAGAAGATTCTTTGCTGTCCAGCTATAGTTTCCCTTGCCTCAATTTCTCCCTCTAGTTTGGGATGCCCCAACAGTGCCCCAGGATGCTGGGTGATCTGTTAGCTGGGGTTTGGACACGTGAAAGATGAATACTGGAAATGGGATGTCTGTGCTGCCTCTGTTCCAGGCCATCCTCGGAAGCATTTCTTCAAACCAAGAGGTCCAGCACAACCCCAGTGACCCCTGGGAGTGAAAAAGCAGTGGCCCTGCTTGGGGTCACAGCAGCTGCCGTGGGTATTTCCTGTAGCCTTTCTCACTCTTCACCACCTCTGACCTCTGGTGCTTTGGGTTCTCAAAATAGCCTCAGAGATATTTGTTCTGTGACTGCAGTGGAGGATGGGAACGGCTTCCTCTGCTGTGCTTCAAAGCTGCTCATGGTTACACTCCCCAGGCCGGCAGTGCCCAGGGGGACGTTGTCCGCCCCTGTTACATGTGGGGACAGTAGAAACCTGATGGCCCAGTGGCAAAGACCATTGAAGCCTGCTGAAAGCCTTGCCTTCTGGTCCGCTCTGCAGCATGGACATCAAACCAGGCAACTCAGGGAGGGTTTTGAAGTGATAATGGCTCTCCTGTGCCTGCGTGGGCACGTGGCTGCATCAGGTGCTGGTTACCAGCTATGTTGTGCTGGCAGTGGAACAGGATTTGGCCCCGCTGATCCCTGTCCTGTGACTCTCCTCCCAGGAGCAGGCTGTGAGAGCAGGGTTTGAACCCTCAGAGAGCCTGTTTGCCCCTGGGGCAGCCAGGGACAAATTAGCCTGATCCGCTGAGGTGGCCAGGACCTTTGCGGTCCTTGTGCGACCCTGTTCTCCACACAGGGGCATAAGTGTGAGAGGGTGACGTGTGGCATTGAGTGGTGGTGGCAGGAGGACAGAAAAGCAGGGGTGTCCCTCTGCCCCAGCATGAGACAGGATGCTGCAGGGTCAAGATACAAATGGGGACATCTGTCAGCTCTGGGTCCTCAGGGTTTCTCTGCTCGTCCAGCCCTTCCTGTAGCTCTTGGTTTCCTTTCCACCCAAGGTTACCTTAGGGAAGCATGGCGGGAGAGGGGCTCTGCTGGCTTGTGTGGCCGGGAGCTCCTCAAGTGAGCAGGGAAGGCTGGGAGGACGCAGAGCTCCTGGGTGTCCACATGTGTGGGGACATGGTTTCTGGTGTGGGACAGGGACGTGACAGGGTTGGGGAGCTCAAACCAACCCAGACTGCAGCTCAGAGCTTTGGAGGCAAACATGGCACATGTATGTACACCTGCGTGTGCACACATGCCATTTCATCTGGGCATCCTAACCTGGCTGAATACGTATACAGGAAGGTTAGAGCTTGCCTGAGCATCTTCTCCTGTCTGCAGACACATCCCGTGTGTCCTTTCCTACATCTGCACACACATCAGCTCTCCTGGTCAGCCTCGCCTAAGCATATACACGTGTATGTATTTGAATGCAAGAGAGGGACTCTTCGTTAGGGACTGTAGTGACAGGACAAGGGGTGATGGGTTCAAACTGAAACAGGGCAAGTTCAGGTTGGATCTTAGGCAGAAGCTCTTCCCTGTGAGGGTGCTGAGGCGCTGGCACAGGGTGCCCAGAGAAGCTGTGGCTGCCCCATCCCTGGCAGTGTTCAAGGCCAGGTTGGACACAGGGGCTTGGAGCAAGCTGCTCTATGGAAGGGGTCCCTGCCTGTGGCAGGGGTTGGAGCTGGAGGAGCTTTAAGGTCCCTTCCAAACCATTCTGTGATTCTGTGTGTGAACACATGCGCACCCTTAGTGTGCAGCCTGTCCTCCTGGCTCTCAGCTCCTGTCAGTCCTGCTGTGCTGTGCTTTAGCAGCCTCCTGCTTACTACTATTCACTCTGCACCCACTTCTACCCCACTCAGCTCTACAATGAAGAGATCCTGGACCTGTTTGACAGCGCCCGTGACCCTGATGTACGCCATCGCAAATCAAACATCAAAATCCATGAGGATGCCAGTGGAAGCATTTACACTACAGGGGTTACATCACGCCTCATCAACTCACAGGATGAGGTGGGTGTGGGATAGGGCAGATATGGGTGCTCACTGACCAGGGATGTGGGGTGATCTCACCCAGGAGGGAACAGAGCAGCCCTGGAGTGAGGCAGAGGCAGGTCGGTGTGCTCACTGGGCTGTCCTGACTCCCTAAAGGATACTTTTAAGGTTTCCTTCTTCCCTGCTCCATGTTGTTGTAGTTGATCCAGTGCCTAAAGCAGGGAGCTCTTTCCCGCACCACGGCCAGCACCCAGATGAATGTGCAGAGCTCCCGGTCCCACGCCATCTTCACCATTCACCTCTGCCAGATGAGAGTGTGCGCCCGCCCGGAGCTGGTGAGATGGGCTCCTGCCTCACGGCTGGGCTCTTCCTGCATCTAATACCAGGGCAATATTTGTGAGGTCCTTTGGAAAGGGGAGAGGGTTTGAAGTCTTGCAAAGAGAGGCAGGGGTTTGTCTTTTTCTTTCCAGTCATAGCCTGTGTTACCATTTAATGGGAGCTGAGGCCTGCAGTCCCATCCAGAGCAGGCACGGTCTGGCCCAAGGGGTGGCCCAGAGCAAGCTGCTGTTGGCATCCTCTCCCCCATCCTTGAGGGACTAGGTGTGGAGGGCGAATGCTGTGGCTTTTGCTGACACCTGAATGCAGCCAAGAATCCAGAGTGATGACCCTCTCCATGTGGCTGCAGGTGAATAGGGAGGTGACCAGCCTCCTGGATGGATCCCAGCCCACCACAGAGTATGAGACCCTCACTGCCAAGTTTCACTTTGTGGACCTGGCTGGCTCAGAGAGGCTGAAGCGAACAGGTGCTACCGGTGAGAGGGCCAAGGAAGGCATCTCCATCAACTGTGGACTGGTACGACCCTGGGCACAGCACGCAAGGGGAGGGGAAGCCTGTGACACCTTTGGGTCCTGCTTGGGGCTGCTCTGGGCTTTTGGGGTTGCTGTTGTCTCTGCCGGGGTTTATGCTACCTGATTGTGTAGGCATGAAGATGCACAATCCAAAATGCCAGTGGTGAAGGCGCAGCTAGGGCAGGACTATGGGGAGGGGTACAGCTGGGTACAAGGGTTTAAGTCCCCAAAAGGTTGAGGTCTCCTAATTTATGCTAGAAAAACCCTCCAGGGGTCAATGCTGCTCCTCAGGGAATGCAGGAGAGAGGCACAGCCATGGGAAAGGGGGTGAATGCTGATACTGGCAAGGGAAGCCCCATTCCTCCACCTCTCGCATGCCAAACCTCTGCCACAGCACATGTCCCAGCCCTGATGTCCTGGCTACACACATCAGAAGCAGCAGTGTTCTTAGCAGGGGTGGAATTTGGGAGGGTCTTTCCTTTGTTTTGGTAGCTGGCCCTGGGGAATGTCATTAGTGCCCTCGGAGACCAGAGCAAGAAGGTTGTGCACGTGCCCTACCGTGACTCCAAGCTCACCCGCCTGCTGCAGGATTCCCTTGGGGGCAACAGGTAAGGGGGTCCCAGGCTGGGGCTGAGCCCTGGGAGAGGGCTGAGGGTCTATGGAGCCATGTAGGATCTATTTCAGGATTCAGATCATGGAATCATAGAATGGTTTGGGTTGGAAAGGACCTTAAGATCATTCGCTTCCAACCCCCTGCCATGGGCAGGGATGCCTCACACTAGACCGTGCTGCCCAAGGTTCTGTCCAGCCTGGCCTTGAACACTGCCAGGGACAGAGCATTCACAACTTTTCTCAGCAACCTGTGCCAGTGCCTCAGCACCCTCACAGGAGAGAACTTCTCTCTGTGCTTCAGATCCAACCTGAACTTCCCCTGTTTCAGTCTGAACCCATCACCCCTTGTCCTATCACTGCAGTCCCTGATGAAGAGACCCTGTCCAGCATCCTTGTAGCCTCCTTCAGACACTGGAAGCTGCTCTGAGGTCTCCACACAGCTTCTCCAGGCTGAACAGCCCCAGCTTTCTCAGCCTGTCTCTGTGGAGGTTCTCCAGCCCCTGATCATCCTTGGGACCTCCTCTGGGCCTCATGTGTTGCCTGGTAGGGAGGAGATGCCTCCTGGCAGGCAGTGTATGACTTTGCAGATATAAAGACCTTGGTTCCTCATGAGTCCCTGGTGCAATTAGCCAGCTTTGGCAGAATTAGCTGGTGCAAAGCACTTCATATCCCTTGTGATCCAGGACTTGGCATGTGGTGTTGCCCAGCATGGGGTGGACTGAATTCCCTGTCTGCTTTGGGTATACTACTATGGCTCTACTTCTCCGAAGAGCCCATTATTCCCCAGCAATCCTAGTGTGTCTTAGCTGGCTAGTGGAGGTTGGCTTTGTTCAGTGCTGTGTGATGTGTTGTTTGTGGGGTTCTGGGTCTGGGAGGCACTGAATCCAGGTTATACCTTGGGTATAAAACACAGAAGGGCCTAGGATGGGTGTCCAGGGGCGTGTGGGCTGTGCTGAGTTCCAGGTTTCGAGGTACAAGTTGGTGCAGGGTAGGTGCAGCTGTCCTTTCACCCTGATCTTTACCTCCCCAAGCCAAACCATCATGATCGCGTGTGTGAGCCCCTCTGACCGGGACTTCATGGAGACCCTGAACACGCTCAAGTATGCCAACCGGGCCCGCAACATCAAGAACAAGGTGGTGGTGAACCAGGACAAGACAAGTCAGCAGATCAGTGCCCTGAGGGCCGAGATCGCCCGCCTGCAGATGGAGCTGATGGAGTACAAGGCAGTGAGTGAGCCTGCAGAGATGGGATGGAGGCAGGAGAAGGAAGCTATTCTTCATGTTTCATTGTGGCAGGTTTAGCAGGAGAGACCCTCCTGCCAACCATGCTCTGCCCCTAGTGATAAGAGTAACTGCTGCGAGAGGTCAGAAGGTTTAAGAAGTGGGGGCTCAGCTCCTGCCTGGCCACAGCAGAACCTTGGGCAAGTCACTTGGGGATGCAAAGGCAGGGAGAAGCCTTGAAGCATTTCTCACCTTCTGCCTCTTCCTGGCCCTTGGATTTGTGCCTGCCCCTGCTTTGGTGGCTGGGGCGGCCCTCAGGGATGCAGTGGTGGGCCCCACACCCCAGCTCACCCTGCACTCAGGACTGTCTCCTCCTGTCCCCACAGGGTAAGCGGGTCATTGGGGAGGATGGCTCAGAAGGCTACAGCGACCTGTTCCGTGAGAACGCCATGCTGCAGAAGGAGAACAGCACCCTGCGCATGCGGGTGAAGGCCATGCAAGAGGCCATTGATGCCATCAACAGCAGGGTCACCCACCTCATGAGCCAGGAGGCCAATCTCATGCTGGCTAGGGCAGGTGAGGCTGGGCTAAGTGTGAGGTGTGGTGGGTCAGGCACTGTAGCTGGGATGGGTGCACAGGTACAGCCTGTGTCTTGCCTTGATCCACCTGCATCTCTGCTCCTCCAGGAGATGGTAATGAAGCTATTGGCACCCTCATCCAGAACTACATCCGGGAGATTGAAGAGCTGAGGTGAGCTGGGCATGGGTGCCGTGGGTCCCCAGGGTCCCTGGGCTCTGCAGGAGCTGTGGTGGGGTCTGAGCCCTGATGTGGCTCAGAGCTGCATGCCTGCAGCATCACTAGGGTGAGTGAAAAGCCTTGCTGGACTAGCAACTGACTGCACTGCTGCTACACTGGGGCTGTAGGAGTCCCAGGCACTGCTTTGGCTGTTGTCATCCTTTGTTTGGCCATTGATAGAGGGGGAGATCCTGCTATAGAAATGCCTGGTGTTTCCCAGGAACCACTGGCCCCCTAAAGCTGAGTCCATCCCAGTCTCTTGTTTGATCCTGGGTCTTGCAGCATTCTGACCCAATATAAATGGGAATGACTGTCCCTGGCTCACACTATCCTACAACCAGGCAAGATCCAATCCTCTGGAGACAGCGGGATGTCTCTTCTTTGACTACATGCTGTCTTCATTCCCTAGGACAAAGCTCCTGGAGAGTGAGTCCATGAATGAGTCCCTGCGTCGCAGCCTCTCACGCGTCTCTGCTCGGGCTCCTTATTCCATGGGCGCGTCCCCAGGCTCCAGCCTGACTGGGCTGTGTAGCCCTGCTGCACCGGTGGACACGGAGGCCTCCGATGTCCTTCGGCGGGCCAAGCAGGACCTGGAGCGCCTCAAGAAGAAAGAAAGGAGGCAGCGGAGGAAGAGGTGAAGGCATCTGCTGTGGGGTGTTGGGAAGGGGGATGTCCATGTCAGTCCAGCAGTATCGAGTCAGGGATACTGCTGCCCTCATCTGTGTGGAAGCCAGAGCACTGAGACAGAGCCCAGGTTCCCCTTTCAGCACTGCCTTGATCTCCTTGTCACCCTCCATGCTATCCTGGAGGCTGTTTTGCCCAAAAGGTCCAAAACCAGGAGACAAGGGGGGCCCCAGCAGGACCTGTCACCAGGCTCCCTGACACTGGCCTTCACCAGCACCCCTCTGCTTTCCTCCAGCCCAGAGAAGGAAGCATTTAAGAAGAGGCAGAAACTGCAGCAGGACAATGAGGAGGAGACTGATGAGAACGAGGTGGAAGAGGTGAGTGTGCTTCATGCTCATAGTGAGGGGACATTTGGTTGAGGAGCATTGTCATTGCCCCATGTGGAAGAGAGACCAAGCTCAGCCTCATCCTGCAAGCAGGCTAGAGGGGTTGTGGAGATGAGGACTTAGTGCTGGAGCAGGGGGGAACTGTTTGCTCCCCAGCCAGCCCTGCTGTGGAGCAAGAAGTTCTCTTCTTCTATGATTCTATGATCTTCTGGGGCTTGGTTTCAGTATGCTTAGGCAAATTGGGGCTGGGTGATGCAGTTACTCTGCTAGGAGGAGATGGATGCAGGAATGAATGGGGCACAGGGCTGCTTCCTTCAAGTGTGGATGCTGGATGTCCAGAAATGGTGCTGCAGCCTTTGGTCATCCCATGTGGGAGGCTGAGTCCTGCTGTGTGGGCTGCAGCACATCAGTGAGGGGTGAGCTCAGGTTTGGAGGAGGGAAGAGCTGCAGAGAGAAGGGCAAAGCTGTTCTGCAAGCTGAGGTTAAGCACTCATCCTTCAGGAGGAAGAGGAGCAGGATGAGAGTGGCTGTGAGGAGGAGGATGGACGTGAGGATGAAGACGAGGATTCGGGCAGTGAAGAGAGCCTGGTGGACTCGGACTCAGATGCAGAGGAGAAGGGTAAAGTGCAGAGCCACGCATGCAGCCCAGGGTATGGGGGTGCATTTGCTTGTGTCTCCTAGCACTGAGCTCTGGTCCTGGGAAGGGAGAGTCAGCCACCTCTCTAAGGGGCTTAGAAAGCACCAGGGTTGTTGCAAGGAGTCTCCAATACTCTTTGCGGTACTGCTGCTCCCTAGCAGTGTGGGTTCCCATGAGCTCCCTCTGCCCTCTCCATGTGCTGTGGCTCACTGGGGCTATGGGAGTGATGCTGCCCCATCCCTCCCAGCCTGACTGTTCCCCTCCGGCCTGCAGCCGTGAACTTCCAGGCTGACCTGGCAGATCTGACTTGTGAGATAGAGATCAAGCAGAAGCTGATCGATGAGCTAGAGAACAGCCAGCGGCGCCTGCAGACCCTCAAGCACCAGTACGAGGAGAAGCTGATCCTGCTGCAGAACAAGATTCGGGACACGCAGCTGGAGCGGGACCGGGTCCTGCAGAACCTCAGTGAGAAATGCCTGTGAAATCCCCTCCCTGTAGTGTTGGGCCCAGTCCTTGCTCCTTCCCAGCTGACTCAGAGCCAAAGCGTCCACCCCCTGCATGCAGTGCTGGCTTTGGTACAGCTTTGCTATCTCTTTGCCTCTGCTTGAGCCCGTGGGATCTCCAAGACCCTGCTGGTCTTGCCAGGGGAGGGGGACTGGTGAGCTGGAGAACTCCTGACCCCACTGGTGGTGGAGAGGTGGCTGGAAAGGATGGCAAAGCAAAGCCGCTTCTAGCCTTGAACACCACTTCATGACACGTGGGAACACTTGGGAAAGCTTGAGGGTCTGCTGAGGGACACATGAAGACCCCAAAGACCAGGTGGTGTAGCTAATCTCTAGGCTCAGCAGGGCAGGATCACCCATGTTGAGGTCTGCAGCTCCTCTCAGCCCAGTGGTTGTGCTGAAACCCACTGTCTCCAACCTGTGCTGAACCCAACCCAGCTCTTCCAGTGGATGCCCCCAGATAGAGCCCAGCCTGTGATGGGGCCAGAGCAGAGGGATGTGGAGGGAGCAGTGCCCTGTGCCTCCAGTGCAGGAGGAGCCCGGGGTGGATGGCTATCACAAGCTCTCTCCTTGTTCCTCTAGGTACTATGGAGTGCTACACAGAGGAGAAAGCCAACAAGATCAAAGCAGACTATGAGAAGCGGCTGAAGGAGATGAACCGGGACCTGCAGAAGCTCCAGGCAGCCCAGAAGGAGCATGCTCGCCTGCTCAAGAACCAGTCCCGCTACGAGCGGGAGCTGAGGAAGCTGCAGGCAGAGGTGACCGAGATGAAGAAGGCAAAGGTACCTGGTCAAGTCTCCCTGCTCACAAGCGATGTTTTCCACTCCTGTCCTGGTGGCAAGTGCAGGACATCTGTCTGGTTGGATGGATGCCTTGGGACAATCGGGTGCCTGATCCAACACATGGTACCACAATCCCATCGCAGGTGGCACTGATGAAGCAGATGCGGGAGGAGCAGCAGCGCAGACGTCTGGCAGAGACAAAGAGGAATCGGGAGATAGCACAGCTCAAGAAGGAGCAGCGGCGGCAGGAGGTGAGAGCCCATCGCCCGCAGGTGGTTGCCCAGTGTGGTGGAACCTGGCTGAACGGCTCCCGAGAGCTTCGCACGCTCTCTGTGTGCTTGTGGGAGACGCTGTGGGGTGATGTGCCATTAGTGCCAGCCTTGAGGCTGGAAACCTGCTCACTTTAAAATCAAGAGTGAGGCTGTTTGTGCCAAAATAACTGCCCCAAATTTTGGTGTTAGTAGTCCCAGGGCTATGGCCATCACTGGGGTGTCTGGGCAGGACCCCAGGGGTGTGTGTCTCTCTCATGCAGTTTCAGATCCGGGCTCTGGAGTCTCAGAAGCGGCAGCAGGAAATAGTGCTGCGGAGGAAAACTCAGGAGGTGAGGAGAAGGATGGGTCTGCCTCCATATAGCCCCCATGAGGGTCCTGACCCCAGTGCTTGGCTTAGAGACACCCTGTCCTTCCGTGAGTGCCAGCTCTGGGAGCAGGACTCCCAAAAGGGTAGGAGGATTTTTATGGCTCCTGGGGGAGAAGTGAGGCCTTCTAGAGCAGACTGAGAGGGGATCCCATCAATGCCGATCAATATCTCAAAGGTGGGTGCTGGGAGGATGGTGCCAAACTGTTTTCAGTGGTGCCCAGTGACAGGATGAGGAGCAATGGCCATAAACTAAACCACAAGAGGTTTCACCTGAACATGAGGAAGAACTTCCTGTTGAGGGAAGCAGAGCACTGGACAGGCTGCCCAGGGGGGTTTTGGAGTCTTCCTCTCTGGAGACATTCCAAACCCGCCTGGACACGTTCCTGTGTGCCCTGCTCTGGGTGGCCCTGTCTTGGCAGGGGTTGCGCTGGATGATCTCCAGAGGGCCCTTCCAACCCTAAGGATTCCGGGATTCAATGTAACCAGGTGGGAGATGGTTGCAGGCAGCAGGGGATGGTGTATGAGGCAGAAGGGAGACATCCATGAGGCACAAACACCCCCAGTGCTTTAGGTCTGGAGAGCTGCTGCTCTTTGTCTATGGGAACCTGGGGGTGATAGAAGAGCCTTGGGGTGGGGATGCCCATCTGACAACTTCTCCTCCACCCTGGGCAGGTCTCCGCGCTGCGCCGCCTCGCCAAGCCCATGTCTGATCGGGTGGCAGGCAGGACGAGCCAGAAGCCAGCCATGCTGGACTCAGGCGCTGAGGTCTCGGCTAGCACCACATCCTCTGAGCCTGAGTCTGGCGCTCGCTCCGTCTCCAGCATTGTGCGCCAGTGGAACAGGAAGATCAACAACTTCCTGGGAGACCCCTCATCCCCTGTGAACGGGGCTCGGCCCCCCAGGTCAGGGCAGGGGCTGTGGGAGTAGGTGATGGTGCATCCCAGGACTCCCATGCCTGGCTTTTGGCTGGTGCTGGAGGTTGAAGGCCAGCTTCTTACTGGTGTTAAACCATTGACCCAGTGACAGGCTGTACTGGCAGCATGTGACTGACTGTCCCATGGGCTTAAGCCCAGAGCTGTCCTTCCATAAGTGTTAAATGCCATGACACAAGCCCAGCTGGGCTCAGCTCTTGTCCCTTTCTTTGCTAAGGGGCAATTGAAAAGTTGGGCAGTCTAGAAACAATGCAGATGCTTCCTCTGCTCCTGGCCAGCCAGAGTCCAACTGGGGCATTCTTTTGGGGCAAGCATGGCTTTCCAGGAATGGTGCAGCCAGTGGCCCATGTGTCTCTTCTCCCCTTTGGCTGTAGGAAGAAGTTCCCCAAGAAGGGGACGAGTCAGACCTTCAGCAAAGCCGCCCGCCTCAAGTGGCAGTCGCTGGAGCGGCGAATCTTTGACATCGTCATGCAGAGAATGACCATCGTTAACCTGGAGGCTGACATGGAGCGGCTCATCAAGGTGACCATAGAACCATAGAATCAACCAGGCTGGGAAAGCCCTTTCATCTCATCCAGTCCAACCATTCCCAGCACTGTCAAGGCCACCCCTAACCCATGGCACTGAGGCCTCGTCTCCACGCTGTGTGAACACTCGCAGGGACAGTGACTGCAGCCCTGCCCTGGGCAGCCTGTTCCAATGCCTGAGCACCCTCTGGGGCAGGAATTGTTCCTCAGCTCCATCTAAACCTGCCCTGGGGCAGCTTGAGGCCATTCCCTCTTGTCCCATCCCTTGTTCCTTGGGAGCAGAGCCCAGCCCCTCCTGGCTCCATCCTCCTGTCAGGCAGTTGTAGGGAGCAATCAGATCCCCCCTGAGCCTTCTCTTCTCCAGATTAAAGCCCCCAGGTCCCTCAGACATTCCTCATCAGACATGTGCTCCAGGCCCTGCACCATGGTGCTGTGGACAGAGAAGGCTGGGTGGTGGGTGCAGGGCAGGGGCACTGCCATGCTTACAGTGCTGATCCTATTCCCTTTTTCCTCAGAAACGCGAGGAGCTGACCCTGCTGCAGGAAGCGTTGCTAGGCAAGAGGTCAAAACTGCAGGCAGAGAATCCCAAGGGGCTGCAGGAGCTGAACGAGGAGATCGAGGTGCTGGGGGCCAACATTGACTACATAAACGACAGCATTTCTGACTGCCAGGCCACCATCATGCAGATCGAGGAGACAAAGGTGGGTGGTTGGACTGGGCTAGACAGGAACAGAGAGAGCAGGAGCAACATTGGGAAGTGAAGGGTGTCACTGGGAAGGGCTAGGCTGGGTGTTCTCCAGTGCTATGTCACACACTTGGTGGGGCTGCATCTTCACAGTCTCTTCTCATTAGGTGGTTAATTGTGGAGGGGAGCACTGCCAGTTCCTTCCATGTCCATGGACAGGCTGCAAGTGCCCCAAGGATTCTAGGGAAGCTGCAACCCCTGTCCTGCCTCTGAGGGGCTGGCAGTCACTTGTCCCCGTGGATGTTCTCCTCGGAAACATCCCAGGGAAGACTGTCTTGTTTCCCAGTAGAAACCCTGCAGGTACCACATCCAGTCTAGACACTGGGCATGCCTCAGGGATGCTGTGCAGCTCCTGGCTCCCCTCTAGTGCTTGCAGCCAGGAGAGGAGGCTGTGTGCTGGCCCTGGCTTGTCCCTGACTCACCTGGATTGACAGGGCAGAAGGGCATGTTGTTAATTCACACTGGCCTTTGGGTTGGTGACCTTATCTGCTTGTGTCTGCAGATTAATGAAGTGTCTGCACCAGGATTTCTGTAGTAGCACAGAAGCCCTTCAGGCTACATTGGCCAGATAGGCCAGTAGCCACTTGGGCAGAATGAGGAGGTTGGGACTGGGCAGTGCTGTGGAAGTGCTGTGCTGGCCATGGAGCCTGTTCTGCCTGTGCCACATCCAGCGGCAAAGCTCCCATGCTGCATCCCGTGCCCATTCCTCCTGTTTCAGGAGGAGCTGGACTCCACAGACACCTCGGTGGTGATCAGCTCCTGCTCCCTTGCCGAAGCCCGGCTCCTGCTGGACAACTTCCTGAAGGCCTCCATCGACAAGGTGCGGTACCAAGGGGTGTGATGGGATTGCTCATGGAACGGGGGCAGGTTGCCGTGGGGGGGATCTGCTGGTGGGACCCAAGCGCCCACCTGAGGCCCTCCATTGCCATCGTTGCCCAGGGGCTGCAGGTAGCACAGAAGGAGGCCCAGATCCGCCTGCTGGAGGGGCGGCTGCGGCAGACAGACATGGCCGGCTCCTCGCAGAACCACGCCATCCTGGATGCGCTGCGGGAGAAGGCCGAGTCGCACCCCGAGCTGCAGGCCCTGATCCACAACGTCCAGCAAGGTGGGACCTGGGGCTGGTGCATCCAGTTCATGCCCATGAGCTAAAGCACCAGAGGTTTTACCTCGACAGGAGGAAGAACTCCTCCCCACTGAGGGCGCAGAGCACTGGGACAGGCTGCAGGGGGGATGTGGAGCCTCCCTCCCTGGAGACGTTCAAACCCACCATGGACACGTTCCTGGGTGCCCTGCTCTGGGTGGCCTTGCCCCGCATGATCTCCAGAGGGCCCTTCCAACCCCAAGGACTCTGGGATCCTGGGGCCAGGCATGCTGCCTGTGGGGAGAGTTGCCCAACCATGATGGTCCTCCAAGAAGCACTTGGAGGTGCCATGGCTGTGACCAGCATGCCCAGGGCTGCCCTGAGGGTGATGCTGGGCAGGGATGTGTGTGCTGGTCACCACACAACAGGGATGATGACCAGGTCCCTATGCCCCCCCCCACAACTGCTCGGGCTGCCCCCTTCACTGCACATCTCAGACGGTGCTGAACACAATGGGGTCCCCGCTGCACTGCTGATGCACTGTCTCCTTCCTGCACAGAGAACGGCTACACCAGCACGGATGAGGAGGTCTCAGAGTTCAGCCTGGCTTCAGATGGGAGGTGAGCACCCAGCCGGGCCCTCCAGCCGAGGTGGAGGAGGCCAGGAGTGGGGTAGGATGTGTGGTGCCACCCATGGGACCTCGCAGGGGGACATGGATGAACAAAGCCCCACCTATGGTGCCCAGCCCTTGGGAAGGGGAGCAGAGATGTCTCTTAGACACCTGCAGAGAGCAAAAACTAGGTCATTCCTTGGAGAAAGGGTGCTGGGGAGCAGCAGGTGACCCAAGGAGTCTGGTGTGCCAGTGGCAACCAGCTCTCTGGAAGGAGTTTGGCACTGAAGATCCACCTTTGTTCCCTTCTCTTGGTACAGCGTCTCCCAGTCTTTCACCATGAAGGGTTCAGCAAGCCAGGATGACTTCAAGTTCAAGGTTGGTCTTTCTGTGTGCCCCATCACAGGGAATGGGAGGAGGGATGGAGGGGCATGTTGTTCAGTGATAATCTAGGCCTCTGCTCTGTAGTCTGACTCTTGGCACAAGGTAGTCTGGCTGGTCTCTGGGTGGGGGCAGCTCTAGAGAAGAGGGTGCCATGGTCCTCTGAAGCACCAGAGGCTTGGGAAGCATCCACCACAACAGCCACCAAGGAAGTCCTTGTGTAGTGCTGCATTCGTGTAGGCAAAGGTGGAAGAGAGCACCCATTGTTCTGCACAGGCTTAGAGTATGTAAAGCCAGCACGACACAGGAGGAACTCCATCTCCTGTGGCCAGAGAGAATGAGCTCTTCCACCCTACAACTCTCTTCCTGTTCCTGCCGTCCCTCCCCATGCTGCCTGTGACTGAGCTCTCTGTCTGCTCTAGGGAGAGCCCAAGCTCTCGGGGCAGATGAAGGCAGTGTCAGCTGAGTGTCTAGGACCCACGCTGGATGTCTCCACCAAGAACATCACCAAGTCCCTGGCATCCCTCATGGAGATCAAAGAGGATGGGATCAGCTTCTCTGTCAGAGACCCCTATTACAAGGAGAAAGTGTCACGCACCATCAGCCTGCCCACACGAGGAAGCACCTTGTGAGCATGGGGTGGTGGGTCGCTGGGCAGTGGGAAGCTCATGCAGGGTGGGAAGCTTTGTCCTGGCTGTGGAGTTGCAGAGAGGTGAGGGTGAGCCCAATCCTGCATCTATCCAGGCTTGTGTGCAGCAAGCAGTCGGGCATTTGTCCAGCAGGACTTGGAAAGTATCTAGGAGTATGCTGATATCCTCTGCAGATGGAGAGGAGAGTACTCCAGGAGGAGGGAAAGAAGGGGGAAGGTCCCCAACTCACTGTTCTGGGTTATCATCCTTCTTAAAGGCTTCTTGGATCACCAAAAGCCTCTGTGCTCATGGGGTGACTTGAGGCATCTCTGATCTTGTGACTGTAAAGCAGCCCAACTTCTCCATCTGCTCTGCTGGGAAAGGCCACTGGTGTTCAGCATGGAGGGATCGGAGCAGGAGCAGCAGGCACCCACTCTACTCTCTTTCACTCACTTTAGTCCCAGGCAGTCTCGTGGCTCGGACACTTCACCTCTGACCAGGAGGAAATCCTACGACCGTGGCCAGCCTGCCAGGTGAGCTTGGGAGCTGGGAAAGAGCAGCATGGGCATGGAGAGGCTGGATGGCCCAGACAAGTGAGGAAAGATGCTGGCTGGACCAGCCCTTGCTGTGCCAGTAAGCAGCTCCCAAGTGACATGTCCCTCTGATCCTTCCTGGCTCAGGCCTCCAGACGTTGGCTTCACGCCTCCCTCATCCCCACCTACCCGTCCACGCAATGACCGCAATGTCTTCTCTCGTCTCACGAGCAACCAGAGCCAAGGGTCTGCCCTGGACAAGTAAGTCCTGGTGGGGTGGGAGCATCTGAGTGAGGGGGATCCATTCTACAACAGCAAAGAGCATGTGTTGGGTCCTTCAGTGGGGTATAGGAGCACAGGACCTCTGTCAGCTCCACCCCATTCTTCTGGCACCATTTTCATGCCCTGCTCCTGTCCATGAGAGAGCTGATGCTCTGCAAGGGCCACGCTGGACCACTGCCCTCTCCTGCCTGCTATGTGTCCCTGCCGAGCTGTCTGCTTGCAGGAGCTTGCAGCCACAGCTTCTGCCTGTACCCTACATGGAGACAGGGCAGTGCCACACTTGGACCACTGGGAAAGGCTATGGAGCAGGATGGTGTGAGGTGGGATGGAGGCTTGCAGGAAGCTGATGGACTGCCACCAACTCAAAAAATGCTGCTCCAGCTTTCCCCTGCAGCAGACTGGGGACCTGCCCTTGACTTGGGGCTTTTCTAGAACTGCTGATAATACTTGATGGAGACCTGCTGTCTGATCCTCATATGCCCCCCAGCTCCTCTGCTCTCTCCCCTGGTTCTCCACATGTGCTTCTCTTCCCTCTTTTCCCTCCCCCTCCTTTCTGTCCTGCATTGGCTTGGATGCAATAACAATCCTCCACCTCTTACTCCTCTGCTACCTCTTCTCGTCTGGGTTTTCTCTCCCATAATCCTGCTAATTTTCTGCCCCTAGGTCTGATGACAGCGATTCCTCTGTCTCGGAGGTGCTGAGGTATAGACAACTTTCTATTTATTATCCCTTCCTTCTCTTCTCCTTCTCTCTGTCTCACGAGCCTGCTCTCCCTCATCCCTGCATGCTTCACCTACACCTTGCTGCTCTCCCTCACCTCCCGTCCTGTGTGTGCTGGCCCCTCTTGGCATACCACCTCTAGTGTCTTGATGCCATCCCTCGGTGGTGAGTTTGAATCATTCCTGCTCTGATAAGCCCTTGGAAATGTGATGTTAGTCTCACCTACAGGCACTGGATGGTTTGGGGTGGCAGCATATTGTTCTCTATCTCTGATGGGTTCTTGTCAGCATGATGCCACAACATCCCGTCCTGTTCCCCAGATCTCCAGCAGGATGGTGTGATGCTGGGGAAAGGGGAAGCAATGCTGGGAGCTCCTAGTGTGTCTTTTTTTCAGTCATCTTCCAGGCAGATAATTCCAGGTGTTCCCTGAACCTGGTTGTGCTTCCCTCATGCTGGGTTGTGGGTAGGTAGATCTCCTTCCCACAGAAACCAGGTCAAATTGTAGTGCAGTGGCCAGCCTGGGCATTCAGATGCTCCTGATCCCAGTGCACCCTCCTGGCTATGGAGGTTTCCCAGCCACCTTTCCTGCAACTTTTAGGAACATCAGCCCTCCAGCACCCAGGTGTCCTCTCACATTGCCCATGCCCTGGGTGCCCTGGGCAGTTGCCACCAGATGAGTCTGTGCTATGTCACCTGGGGTGGTTTGCAGTCAGGCAGCATCACTAGGTCCCATCGATAACGTCTCGCCATGGGAGCCAGGTTCCCATTTGCATTCAGTGTCACCTCGACTGGAGGAAACACTAGAAGTCAGGACAGGGCTGTTTCATTTGAGCTTGGAAGTGCAGCTGCTGAGGTGACATACATCTGATTTCTAAACCCAAATGAATGAGCCTGTTTGTCCTAATGACTAATGTAAATCTTTTGTGGCCTTGGGTCTGGCCTTCTCCACCCCTGTGCCTCAGTTTCCCCACCTATAAGAAGAGACAAGCACAATGCAGGCTGCTTCGGATCACCAGCTGGGAAGAGCTGATGGTGGCCATGCACACTAGGGTCTGGAAGAGTCTGAAGGGTAGGGCTGTTGGTTCTCAGTATCCTGAGGGCTGTCAAAGTGGAGGTGATACTGTGTTGAGAGGGATAGGCAGCAAGTGTCCCTCGGAGGAAGGTCTGGCAGGGATAGGTCCTCTCCAGCCCAGAGCCAGTGGGCTGCAGGGTTTTCACAGCAACAGGGATGCAGGATGTAAATACCTGAGCTGTCCTTTGTATCCTTATATAAGGAACAGTGGCCCTGTCTCCAAATGTCACCAGCCCCAGGCTGACAGCCTCCAAGCACCTGGGTGCTGGGGTTTGGTACCCTGAAGCATTTATTGCAGCAGAGCTTCAGGCTAAAGAAGGTGCAGTTTGTCCCAAGGACAGACTGGGTCTCCTGGCTCCTTGGGTCTGTGCTGGCCCGGCATGAGAGGTTCATCAGGAGAGCAGAGGCCACTGGGCAGCCCCCTGCTTTCCCGGTGTGTATTGATGGGGCGGGGTCTGCTCCTGGGGAGATTCCTGGGGTATCCATGAAGGTCATTGCTCAGATGTCCTGGGTTCAGATGGAGAGGCCCTGTGGCACTGCCACGTGGTGGAAGATGCTTGGTATGAGGCAGCTCTTGTTCTCCCATGCCCTCAGGACTGTGTATGTAGTGTGGTGCCTTCCACACACACCCCATCATGCTTATTCTTTCTTTCTTTCCATGCAAGGGGTGTCATTAACCCAGTGGGTGGCACCAAGAATGCCCGGACAGCCCCGCTGCAATGCGTCTCCATGGCAGAAGGACACACAAAACCTGTGCTCTGCCTGGATGCCACTGATGAGCTGCTATTCACTGGGTCCAAAGGTGCGTGGTGGACAGTGAGGACATGGGGGTTGCTGGCCTGCAGATATTGTGGGAGCAGCAGGTCAGCATGGGGGATGATCACTCTCTTCAACTACCCGACAGAAGGATGGAGCCAGGAGGGGAATGGTCTCTTGTCCAGTGCTCCCAAGGAGCAAGGGACAGGACAAGAGGAAATGGCCTCAAGCTGCACCAGGGCGGATTTAGATGGAGCTGAGGAGCAATCCCTTCCCCAGAGGGTGCTCAGGCATTGGAACAGGCTGCCCAGGGCAGGGCTGCAATCACCGTCCCTGCAAGTGTTCACACAGCGTGGAGACGAGGCCTCAGTGCCATGGGTTAGGGGTGGCCTTAGCAATACTGGGGAACGGTTGGACTTGATGAGCTTCAGGGTCTTTTCCAACTTGGCTGATTCTAGGATTCTATGTGAAGTGCTGGACACCATGGGGATGATTCCTCCTGGGCTTCTTGTCTGTTCTCAGCATTGAGCCATGCCATACCCTGCCCCAGCACTGTGGCTGGCTCCTTTCCTCTGATTCTGAGGGTGTAGAGAGGTGATGATCAGAGAAGCTATTGCCCTCAAGTCACCATGGCTTTGGAGGGAGACTTCCACCATCTTGATGCTCCTGGGCATGTTCTTCCTCCCACAGACCGAAGCTGCAAAATGTGGAACCTGGTAACAGGCCAAGAAATTGCTTCCCTCAAGGGTCACCCAAACAATGTGGTTTCCATCAAGTACTGCAGCCACACGGGGCTGGTGTTCACTGTGTCTACATCATACATCAAAGTGTGGGACATCCGGGACTCAGCCCGCTGCATCCGCACCCTCACGTACGTGGCAGATGGGAGAAGCTGGGGGGGACCATGGCCTTCTCTGGACATCTCTGGCTTTGCAGAAGCCAGTGCCAGGAGCTACTGAGGCTGGGGACAGGGCCAAATACCAGCTGCTTCAGTGCCAGTGCTGCATCCTTAAGGAACCGGGAGGCTGGGAGAAAGCTTGTGGTGAGGGGACCCATGTGGTTCCTCAGTGGGGCCTCAGTGTCTCTGGTCTCCACTCATCCTCCCTGCTTGACCTCTGTCTCCCTTAGATCTTCTGGACAGGTGATCTCTGGGGATGCCTGTGCTGGGACCAGCACCCGCATGGTCACCAGTGTGCAGGGGGAGCACCAGATCAACCAGATTGCTCTGAACCCCAGTGGCACCATGCTCTATGCTGCCACTGGGAACTCCGTCCGCATCTGGGAGCTGAGCAGGTGAGGTGCTGGGGTGGGCAGGACAGCTTATGGAGTGGACACTGTCTATCCATAGTGGACACTGTCTGCTCAGAGGCACCTAAAATAACTCCCCAGGGAAATGGAAAGCCTTTTGAGGAATAGAACTTGCCTGGAATAAGGACTTTCAGGACCCTTTCCTATGAGACCCACAGGGTGATGAGCATCAGTGGAGCTACTTGGGGTGAGGGTTTGTCCGTGAGCTGGGCAGAGCTTAGGAAAGGAAATGTGGGATGAGCAGCAGTACATCCTGGTTTTGCCCTTGCCCCCTTCCCTGCCAGGTTTGCACTGACTCCTTGCTGCAGCCTAGGCTCTGGAGCCAGATCTGGGCATGCCCTGAGGTCTCCTTCCTCCTGGCATCAGCAGGAAGAGGGATGTCCCTGCTCACTGTCTCCCAAAATGAACAACCCCTATGGGAATCCTTTCCTGGGAGAGCCCTTTGGACGAGCTCCAGCACCCAGGAAGGGGCTAGCTGACCCATGTTGTTGAACTCAGGTTGCAGCCCATCGGGAAGCTGAGTGGCCACATCGGGCCTGTGATGTGTCTCACAGTAAACCAGACGGCGAGCAACCACGACCTGGTGGTCACAGGCTCCAAAGATCACTATATCAAGGTACTCACCTCCCCCGAGAGCAGAACCCTGTGTCACACAGGGAAGCCCAAATGTTGGTAACCCCTAAGGTCTCTTCTCATAGAATCATGGAATGATTTGGATTGGAAAAAACCTTATGATCACAGAATCATAGAATCATCGAATAGTTCATCTAGTTCCAACCCCCAAACTCTCTCTGCTGAAATCGGAGCCCAGATTCTGGTTTCACCTCTGCATGGGAGATTTTTGTGTATCTCCCCAAGTCTTGCTTTTTGCTTGGTCCATAACAGAAATGCACCTTTGGAGATGGATTTGCATTTCTGTCCTCCCTTAGGCTCTCCTCTCCCTCAGGCAAGTACCTCCTGTGGCTGGTACTTGCATGTTATGGCCAACCCAGATTTGCAGCTCACCCTGTTCTGCTCAGTCCTCCTCCCCAGTACGGATGCCAATTCCCACTCCCTTTCCAGCCTCAGTCTGGGTGCCCTAAGCCTGGAAAACAGAGGGAGTGATGGCCACATTCTTCAAGAGAGGGTCAGCTCTGTTTCGAGTGCCATCTGAGGTCTTTCCCCATTCTTCTTCTCCCCAGGTATTTGAGATTGCTGAGGGCATGGTGGGCAATATTGGCCCCACTCACAACTTTGAGCCCCCTCACTACGATGGCATCGAGTGCCTGGCCATCCAGGGAGACATCCTCTTCAGCGGCTCCAGGGACAATGGCATAAAGAAGTGGGATCTGGAGCAGCAGGAACTTATCCAGGTCTGAAGGGGAGCATATCATACAGGTCCTCAGGGTGACTCGGGGTAATGTGCGGCAGAGGAGTATTGCTGCTGGCAGGACCCTTGTCCAGGGACCTTATGCCAGTGTTCTGCACTGAGCTCACCAGGAAGGATATTCCCATTCCTGGGAATGTGGCAGTGCATGAGTGGGGTGGCTCTGTGCTGTAGGGCACTCAGGATCGCCAGCTCCCCCTGGCATACAGGCTGCAGCATGAATTGCACTGCTGGGTGGGGTGTTCCTCTCTGAAGATCAGATGTTACCTCCTGCCCATGGAGCAGGGGAGAAAAAACAAACCCTGACTTCTGAATCGATCCTCTTGGCCTCCTAACTTTGCTTCATTAGTCCTACAATCCAGATCAGCCCCAGGGTACAACAGTAAGGATCTGACCCATGCTGGATGCATGAGGCCGATGGTGGTGCTGCAGATGAGGTTGCTCATGATCTCTGCTCTCTGCCTGCAGCAAATCCCCAATGCCCACAAAGACTGGGTGTGTGCCCTGGCTTTCATTCCCGGGCGCCCCATGGTGCTGAGCGCTTGCCGAGGAGGCATGATCAAAGTGTGGAATGTGGACACCTTCACCCCCATTGGGGAGATCAAGGGACACGACAGCCCCATCAACGCCATCTGCACCAACTCAAAGCACATCTTCACTGCCTCCAGGTGAGCCTCAGGCTTTCTGTTTCCCAGAGCCCCCGGGAGGTGGGAGAGCCCTGGGCTGAAGCATTACCCCCAGGCCTGGGTGGGTTTGTGCTGGGTGGACAGGAAGCAGGGAGGGAGGGAAAGGGGGAGTCTCACAGCTTTCTAGTCCCTCCATTCCATCTCATCTTGCCCACCTTTAGCCTGCCCCATGTCATGGCCTGCCCACTGAAGTGCCAAGAGCTATTCCCTGACCATCCCCTTCCCATGCTCTGGTGATGCCCTGGGTTTTCCCTCTCCCCGGGGCTGGACATCCTCTGCTGCTCTTGGGGAGCTCTTTGGCAGCAAGACTCTGATATCCTCTTTTCCACCATGTCCCTTTTCTCCCTTCCTTTTTCTCTGTCTCTCTCTGTCTCTCCTCCTCCCCACCTCCCATCTGTGCCACAGTGACTGCCGGGTAAAGTTATGGAATTACGTGCCTGGGCTCACCCCTTGCCTTCCACGACGCGTCCTTGCCATAAAGGGCCGTGCTACTAGTCTGCCTTGACCCTTCTGCTCTTTCTCTCTTGCTCATGCAGTCTTCTCCTGTCTTTTCTTCCCTTTTCTCTTTCTCTCCATCTTTTTCTCCCTCTGTCTTTCTGTCGCTTGCTTTCACTCCTCTCTCCCTTCCCCTCTCTCTTTTTCTTCCCTTCTCTCTGATCTGAGCTGCTTCTTCACGGTATGAAACTATTTTGCGTTTTTCCCCACTTTGCTAGAAGAGACTTGTCCCCTTGTCCCAGTCACACCCCTGCGCTAGTTTGGTTTCCTTGCTTTGGTTTTTCTCCTTGCTGAGTGCCTACATCCACTGTGGTAGCTCAGAGGACACTGTGGCCTTGCCCACTCCTTTGCATGGATGGTGGGGTGGGAGTCAGCAGTCACCCCCAAAGCAGCCCATGCCCTGGGGAGATGAAGCACAGCAGCTCCTTGTGGTGTCACTGCTTTGACCTAGAGTCACTCGAGGGGGGCAGGAGTCCTGTGGTCAGGGTCAGCCCTGGGGGTCAACATTTTTCATTGTCCCCAACTGTTGCCAGTGGGGTGAGCTGGAGGCTGAGCCCTATTGGGCCTCTCTGCTCCCCAGAACAGACTGGGCAAACTCTTGCCATGAGAAAAGGGTCTTGTGGGGTGCATGCTGCCATGGGCTGGGGTGGGCAGTGTTGCTCCTCTCTGCAGGACTCCTGGGGTCACACCATCCTTCTCACCTTTGTTTCTCAGTGACTTGACAGTGAAGCTCTGGAGCGGGAGGAGGTTACCCACAGGGTCCAACTAGAAGCTGCAAAGACTGGAGGACATAACAGGAGGGTGAAGGTCAAGGTACCTCTCCCTCACGATCAAGACCTGGTCATCTCTGGGAGCTCAGTCCAGGGATAGGGATTTGTTTGTGCATGATCCGGTGGGGCGGACGATGCCCCGTCTGGTACTTTGACCACTACTAGCTCCTGTGAGAAGGCAGCTCCGCAGGGCATCATCAGCTCCACCTTCCCTCCCGTTGAGGTTTCTTCATGGTTTTCCAGTGACCATGAAGTATTTCAGCTCTTTTCTCACCCACTCTGCTGTAATGCCTGATGGAAATTGCAGGCATCAGAGCTCCTTGGCTTCTTCTGAGACACCCCCTTGCCTCCATGGGCTTATGTGGCTTCCACCATGATGTGCTGCTTCTGTCCCTGTTGGCCATGGGGCTGGTTCCTGCAGGAGTCTTTCTGCACTCCACAGCCACAAGGACATTTGGTGTCTGCTGGACAGGACCACAGCATAGAGGGGCTGTCTTTGGAGCCATTACTTGTGGGACAGCCTCTCTGCTGTGGGCAGTCTGGAGAAGGATTTCCAGGTAATCCCATCATTCCACATTCTCCATCTACCTGTTCCCAGCAGTTGGAGGTGGGCACCTCTGAATTCCTTTGCCGTGTCCCAGCTGTGGATGTACAGCAAGCCTGGGAACATCTCCATCAGTCAACTTACAAACCTGCTGCAGTTCCCTTTGACGTTCTCTAAACTCCAGTCATAATTCCAGTCATAAACTCAGCTGACCCATGGCTCATGGGCTCTTGCCCTAGTGCTCTGCAGTGGGGAAAGGCTGCTTAACCCTGCTCTTGACAACCTGGCCCTCAGCAGGGCTTCTGTGGTAGGTTCCTGCAGCATGCTGACCCCCTTGAGATAGAGAAACAAAGCAAGAACAGAGGTTACAGGGCAAAGAAGCCAAGGCTGGATTCATCACCATCATCCCTGTGATTCATCTTATTCTGGAAGCTGTAAATCCTTCCTCCAGGCTCTGCTCTTAGTCCTCTGCCTGGGAAGGACTAGCTCAGGTTTGGCCCATTGGCCCCATGGATCTGGAAGCCAGAGAAGGCCAAGCCAAGGCATGGAGCAGCCGGAGGATGGGCCAGGTTGGCCTCAGCTGTGCCAGAAGCAGGGTGAGGAAGGGGCAGCACACACTCATCTCACACAAGTCCCCTGATTCACCCCTTGCTTGAAGGACAATCCTGCAGTGGATGATCTTGCACAGTCCAATCTCCATGAAAAGCTGGGGACTCTGTTCAGGACTCTTTCCCCAGGGATGTAGCTTCTGCAGGCTCCCTCCTCCTCTGGCTCCAGGGCATGCAAGGCCTTGGTCTCACACTGGAGTTTTTCTCCATCAGTCCTGTTGTATCGTCTCCTGCTCTGTCCAGCCCTGGGCCAAGCAGGGCTTCTCCTGCCATGGGCAAGGAGAACCTGGTGTTCTCTGTCACAGAAGAAGCAGCATTTGAACTCAAATTTAAGGATTTCTTCATGAGACCCCACCAGCAATGAACTGGGATCTCAGAGGCCACAGGAGGTTCAGGACCTGCCCCACAGACCATTTTCCCTCTGCTTTTTCCAACCATGGTGACTCTTGGACCACCCCCAGCTCGTTTTGGGGGAAAACCCCATCCTACTGGCTTGCCTTTGTGGCGGGTGTGATGCGTGTGTGTGTGTTGTGTATGACCATGCCCAGTTCAATGAGCAGTCCCTGGTGATCATGTCTGAGCCCTGCATTGAGGTGAGGAGCCCTCCTGCCATGGCTGATGGAGAAGTGAGTGTAAGGCACAGACATGGGGGCTTCAGGAGGTGTCACCCTCCTTGGAAAGGGTTTTCCTGCTCATTCCTGAGCTGGCGGAAGTTTTGCTTGGCTGGAATGGGTGGTGTGGATGTGTGTATTTGGGCAGAGATGTGTGTTTGAGTGTCTGTAATTGGGTGTACCATATGCATCAATGTCTGCATCAATGTCTGCACCAAGATCTGCCAGTGCCTGATGTGGAACCTCTCACTGCTCCCTGCTGAAGTCGATGAAGGAACCTGCTCTTGGGGGACTCTTGGAGTCAGACCTTTCCTTTCACAACCAGTGTCTTCTTGTGTGTAGGCTGCAAGTGCCTGCTTTATTTCCCAAGGCTGAGTGCTCAATCCTGCCTGATGCTGAGCATCCACCTCGCTGCTGCATCCAGGAGCACGTTGAGGGGGCCTCAAGGCTTTTGCAGCCTGCAGGTGCTGCAGCACAGCAGCAAGTGACTGGATAGGGGGTCTCTGAGGAGAGGGATAACTGTGATCCTATAGCTGTGTGTGTGTGTGTTTTAGTATCTGTGTGGGCTGGTATTTCTCATGCACAAGAGCATTTCTCGGGTGTTGATCTGGTTTAGCTACCTCACGGTGCAAGCTGGGTGCTGTTGTCACTGGGTTTGTGTTGGGAATGGGGTGGGGAGTGTGGGTGCTGTTGTCACTGGGTTTGTGTTGGGAATGGGGTGGGGAGTGTGTGTGCTGTTAGGTTTTTCTCTTCTCTCAATTATTGTTATGGTTTTTCACACTTGAATTCATGCTGGGGACACATGGCCTCACCCCCACCTCACTGTATGTCTGAACTGCCCCTCATGCAGCAGGATTCCCCCCAGCTCAGTCACAGCACTGAGGTTTTGCTCCTGTGGCTGGTGGGGTGATCGGGCTGACCTCAGCTTTGTTGCTATTACTGTGTTGATCTGCAGTGCGGAAGTGGTCCCTCTTGTCCCCTTGCAGGATGGAAAGGGACCTATGAAAGGCTCAGCTCAATCTGGATTCCTGCCTCTGTTCTAAGAGGGTGCAGTGAAGCCCTTCTTGTGTTCAGAATGTCCATGCAAGGCACATCACTGGAATGAACTGTTCCCCATTTTCCAGAGCCTGCAGCCTGGAGCAGCAGGGAACTGGTCCTGTAAAAGCCTCTGTCCAGGTCTGTGAAAGAACATCATTCTCATGTATGATGTTTGATTATTTTATTCCCAAACCATAGTTGAATCTAGATCCAGTCCCAGACACTGAACGTAAACCAGGGTAAACCTGGAGCCCCAGATTCCCCACTGCCTGGGGTTGGGAAGCTGACACAGAGTTGTGTTCTGCTTTCCTGGCACAATGGGGTTTGGAAAGCGGCTCACAGCTCTGAGCTACACTCTGAGCCAGTTTAGGTGGGGCAGGTTCCCCCAAACACTAAAGCACAATGTCCCAACATGAAGGTGGTCCAGCAAGGGTGGCGCCTGGGACTCTGGTCCTTCAGAGCCATGGGCTTAGACAGCCAAGGTGGAGATGGGCTCAGGTGAGGGCTCTTTGTGTGCTGGAGGAAGCAGGTGAGCTGTGTCATCCTTTGCACTGTGCTGGGGAGCTCCTCTGGGGCTCAGACTTGCACAGCTTAAGTATTTTCTTGTGGCTTCTGAATCCCTCTGCCATTGCAGGGACAGTTTCAAGCTGCCTTTGCACCATGCACCTCATTTTGCTTTGCCCTTGGGTGCATTGGTTTGATACCTGCAGTCCAGAGAAGTCCTTCCCTTCCTCAAATCACTGGGTGCTGCTTTTGTACCCGGGGCCTGACTCTTGCCCCCTGGGTTTCCCCACTCCAGCACACAGGGGCCAGCTCCTGCCTCTGCTGCGGGCACAGAGCTGGCCCAGAGCTGAGCTTTGCACACAAGGGTCCCCAAACCACTCTGAGCCGCCCAGGAAGCCTGGGCACTGCCCCATCCCTGGCACTCACAGCCCTTGTGGCACAGAAGGACACGTGGGTGCTGCATCTCCCAGCCTGGCCAGCTGTGAGGAGCTGGGCTCTGCGGTCCTGTCCCCTTCCCTGTTCTTCCCTCTAAGCACAGCTGCTTTAAGGTCTCAGAGTCTGCCTTCTGCCTTGGTGCTGCAGAACCAGTGCCTGCTCCCCAGGGTGCTCTCCCAGTGCCCCTGTCCCTGACCTTCTTCCCTTGTCCCATATGGGACAGGGTGCAGGTACAATCTCTGCAGAGCATAGAACTCCCATTTGCTTTTCAGCAAGCTCACAGCCTAGAGGCTGCAACACCCTCCCTGAGCCCCCTGCTTCCTGCAGAGGGAAGGGAACTCCTAGCCCTCCTGGTGTTCCAGCTGGAAGTGGGAGGGAGCCCAGCACAGCCCCAATCCCCCAGGCCCTGGTCTGGCTTCCTGGGGCTCACCCATAGAAAAGCACAGCCCTGTATCTTCCTCCTGCCCAGGGGGGCTTTTGCCTTCATCCTTAACAGCTCTGCCTGGTACCTGCCAGCTCTTCCACATGCCCTGTGCCCTGGGATCACCCAGCACCCTTCAGTCCAGTCCTGGGGAGGGCTCAGGCAGCGTCAGCTTCACGTCACCTGCTCATTCACCCCTTCCTGCTGCAGAAGCATTGCAAATAGCAGGTGCCTTCTCTTGCTCAGAGCTGTTTTCTAGAGGCCAACTCTTGTGAAGGTGTGTTTTTTGTCTCTGCTGGGTCATGCAGCCCAGCCCAGCAGTCTGGGTATGTCAGAGGACAAGGCATGTACATATATTTTATACCTCGATGTGTTCCTGTAAATAGTGTAAGTTATTTCGGTCTCATGATGTACATGTTTTTACACTGGTTGTGGTTGGTCCTTGCCTTTTTGTCCTCACAAATATAATGTGCTGAGATGAAGCACCAGAGAAGAGATGGCTTTGAAGAGGGGAAGAGCACAGCCAGAAACGTTCTGGCAAAGGGGTGGAAAGGCTGGCTGAACTGATGTAGCTACAGCCCTTTGTGTGTTGGGAGAAGGTAATCTGCATCCTTACAGGCCCAGTCCTCAGTCAGTCAGGGTAGATGTGATTGCACTGGGGGGAACTTAAGGAGCGGAGGTGGAGGAAGCACAGACCCAGTCAGGCGCTCTCCTGGGCAGCATGTGCCCACCCCCACCCAAGACACTGGTCAACCAACCAGCCCCAGGCACTGCAGGGCAGGAAGGGGGGCAGTGAGCTGTACCCACAGCCCAAACAGCCTCCACAGAAAGCTGTTTACTGGCCATCACCTTGTGTTGGCAAGCACCCTTGGAACAGCCCTACCAACACGGAGACTTGTGTTTGATTAACCCACCTAAAGCTCTATGTGTGTACTGCCTGAGGAGCTCTCTCTCAGGCTCCCCAGTGTGCAGCTCCAAAAGTGAAAACATTAAGCCCCTCTTCCCATACCAAAAGTGCTAGGACAGAAAGCTGTCGCTTAGTGTCACCTACACACGGTGAACGCTCAAACAGCCACATCAACATGGGGTCTGCATTTGTTCAGCCGCTTAATGCTCCTTCTGCATAATGCCAGTCTGGGGACCTCTCTAAGGCTCTCCATATTCCAGCTCCAAAAGTGACTGCATCCAGCCACTGTTCCTTCACCAAGGTGTCAGAACAGAAAGCTGGTGCTGGGCATCAGCTACATGTGGTGAACACCAGAACAGCCCCACCAACATGGGTTTCTGCGCGCTGAGCACCATCAGGAAGTGGCAAGGCTGCAGGAAAAGGGGATAAAGCGAGGAATAAGCTCCCTGTGGAGGAGTTGATCCCACCGCCATGGCTCGGCTGTGGGGGTGCTATGCCGAAGGCCATAAGGCCACGTCTGGCGCGCAGGGAAGGAGAAGGAGCCCCTGGAGCAGCTTTACCGCGTGGGACCGCTGCTGGGGAGCGGCGGCTTCGGGTCCGTGTACTCGGGGGTCCGCCTGTCCGACAGCGCCCTGGTAAGTGGCGGGGCCGGTGGTGGGGCGGGGGGAGGCGGCGTGGCAGGCCCCAGCTCAGCCCAACGCTGCCCTTGGCTTGCAGGTGGCGATCAAACACGTGGCTCGGGACCGCATCTCCTCGTGGGGCGAGCTGGTGAGTGCGGGA